TAGCCGTGACATTTCCAGGATAATTTTGGGTCGACGTTTTATAGGTAAGTCCTCTTATTTTGTCGCTGTGTATACACTTCAGGGGAAATTGTTATTTGTCTCTGGCAGATGTAGGAGAGTTTGTACGCGCCTCCAAAGAGGGGAAGTTTCAAGTTTGAAATCGTTGAAAGGCAGCTGTGGCTGCGGAAGTGCCGCTGTGACAGTGCATGGACCCTTCGTGCTGTAAACTTGTATCAAGTAGCGGACATTGCAGTCAATTGTACAAATCACAAAGAAGCATTCCTAAATCTTTGTACAGTATTTATAGACATAGCTGCCCCAATTTAATTTCTTTTTTTTTAACTGTCAGCAGAATTCATTTGAAAGGTAATAGACGAATTCATGGGCCACCCATTTTTTGGCATTAATTTTTTACGAGCGTACTCAGCGTGTCCTTTCTGGAACCTTTCCCTCATAGGACGATCGAAGAAGAAAAATAAATTCTTTCTTTGCGAGGAACCATCTTCATTATGTTTAATTTATTACTATTTTTTTTCAAAGCGTACTTGGTTGCCCAACCCTTCCTTCTCAGCGAACGGTTTGTACCGATGGCGTAACCGTGACTACGTGGGAAGGTGCATGGGGCTGCACGTGCCAATTCCCAGCGGCTGTCTGTGTCCCCAGTGCCCCCCCCTTGGTAATCTCGAACAATAACTATACAAGCTACATTACGTTGAAAAAGCTGCCACTGTTAGTAAAAACAGTAAGCGAGGAAAGGAGCACAGAATTACCATTCGTCGTAACCTCAAAGCGATATTTTGGAACGATCCGCGGTTGCCTGGAGATGGCACTCTTGAGGCTCAGCTAATATTTTTTATTCCTCAGCTTTTTAGCTTAGGCCTAATGGTCGATTATCGTCACCACTAAATCTGCGCTCGCACACACGAACAGGAAAATTGATGTAGTGCGTATCTACCTGGGGGTTAAGAATTTCAAAAGAAGCTTTGAAGGTGGCAAAGTTGTCGCATTTTGATCAGGGCAATCACGACAGCAGTACTGTTCTTTGTCTAAAACAGTCGACGGCTTTTCATAAAATGTAAATGATCATCGATTTGTTGGTCAACGCGGAGCTAGGACAGCTCTGGAGTTGTGCTCACTTCATGATGCTGTTCCCTTTTTCATATTGCTTGGTTCTCATTAAAACACAATCTTGGCTAAAACGTCCCACGTTGAAAGCGCATAACGCCAAGTAAAATGCTGCAAATCGATCACTGTGCACACAATGTAATTATTTGCAAATTTTGAGGAGGGGCGTGAAATTGAAATTTGGGCATTTGGTTTATTCACTTAATATCATATAGGCATTCTTTAGTTATGACTTAAAAAAAAATTGACGGATGGGGAAAATTTGTGAGGACGGGAACAGGTCGGCCATCGATATGGCGAGGAACTTTCGTTCATCATGTATAGTGTCTGTCTTTTTGTTCGTTCATGTTCACGTCATGTTGTAGAAGGTGTGAATACGCGATTGATATGTGATATTGGTACTGTCTGCGTTTTTCTCCCCTGTAGAATTGGAGAGTCTTTATTATTTTTTTTCCGCCAGACGTTGCAGACAGGTTCGGCGGCATAAAAGGTTTTTCTCCCCTCGGGACGCCCTTGAGCAGTGGCAAAGAATGCTTTTAGAGAAAACGAAGGGAGGAAAGACCATTTTAAAAAGGAACATGAAAGTGTCAGATTTTCCTTGCAAGGAAATCTTAAATTGGGGCTTGCGGCGTCATTCGCGCGGTGAACCAGTTTTCTTGTTAGTCCATATAGCCACACGGCTTGGCGACAAGGCCAAGGCTTTTTGCCCCACGCATTTGTGAGCTGAACAGGTGACCGACGGTTAACGTATTGAATCTACTCGGCTATAGACTGCTGAACAAGCATTATAGGCACTGTGCGTAAATTACATAGGCCTACGAAATGCTGTGCTGATTATATCAGTATTTTGATCGATGTCCCGGGTAGCTTAACGTTCAAGAAAAGTAAGACTAGAAATTTTAGCTCAACAAAATAGTCATAGGTTTGTACATGTTACTCAAGACCTGACTCGAGCAAATACTTGAGTCTGAATTGGAATTTACCTTTAGGTGCGGCCTCTATCTCACTCCCGATGTTATCGCCGAACTCAGACTGATTCCCAGGACCATAGATTACAATTATATTGGAAAGTGAACATCTAGTCATACAGGCTCCACTGCCGCTTCCTGAAATATGATTCTGGACACAAATATAGCACAATACCGGACAAGATAAACCAATCTCATCGCAGATAGTATCGGTCCTAGTTTTCAGCAGATCCGTGAATAGCTTTCAAGTAATTCCCTGTCTCCACGGGCAGACGACGCGCTAATTTTGCTGGGCAACTGCACACGTATTTGTTGTGCTAACAAATGAAATTAAATGCACCAACAGCAGGAAAGGGTCGCGGGAAGTTACCACAGTTTGCTTTTGTGGTGGGTCAATAGCTTTCACACGTTAGTCCAGAAACCGGACACAGTAGGATGACTGTCAGCAATTGTGTGACTGCATTGACGGAGTAACTGATAAACTGGCATTGCGTACACATTGACAGAAGTCAGTGGCTTTCGAAAAATTACTAATGGCGCACTTTACCACCTAGTGATATCGACCCCCAACACACACGTGCATTTGTACCCATGAGTGGTGGCCTCTTGACCTCTTGGTGGCAGCAAATGAGTGGTGGCCTCTTGACCTCTTGGTGGCAGCAAACAAACGAGAGTTCCTTTCAAGCCCCAAGCGGAGTTTGCGCTCGATGGCTTCACGGAATGCACACTGTACATGCACTGGAAGTAGGGAATCGGTTTGTTTCCGCCAGAAAAAAGAGTGAATGAAGAGTGGTGCAAAAATTGCCTTTAAAAATACATTTAAAAAATCGTGTAAAGTCGCCTTTCCATATACGCGTCAACACTTGCAACAAGCTTTGCGAATCCGTCACAATTGCCCCCGGGCGATTTTGACGGCCGAAAGCAACGCACACCCGTGTTGTGTTAACAGAGTGGATTTTTGTATAGATCTGTGAAAGTGAAACGCATGAACGCATCGTGAACGCAACGCAGCCCAAAAACGTGCATATGGAAAGACGCCTAAAGAGGTTTGCAGCACAATCAATGCCCAGCTTCAATGGGCTACCTCCAACTTGCTATTGAAAGTCGTTGGATCATTTTCTGTCATTAGAACCTTCAACTTGAGCACAATTTTTACGCAGTTCACATGAGAGTTGTACTGTGGAAAGACTGGAAGTGCATAATCTACTGGAACGAAGATTCACGGTCTACGTGTTTCCCCCTCCAAGGACAAATATGGAATTTTTGGTAGATTTTTTTAAATTTTAGACAGGAGATTGGTTGAGAGTTGACCGAAACACTGTTACTAAAGAGGGAGATGGAATATCATGTCTGAAAAATCAGTATGACCTGCCAAAAGTTCAGGGAAAAAAACTTGCAACTTGATAAGAACGTGTAACCAAACGCTCTATACTGGGTTGATTGTTGGGCGTGAAGTCGTCAATATTTTTTGCCCAAAACCACTCGCCCAAAAGTCTGTGAAATTATAGGTCATTCGTGCACCAAGTCAAAAAGCGTTTGAAGTTCTAATGCGAAATTGACACCTACTCGTTGCTACCTTCATTGAATCCTGTCTCGGGTTTCAAGGCTCGTGTTTGACTCATTGACATGATTGATTCTGACAGTATGTATCGCCTTGTCCGTCGCTCTCTGATTTAAGCACACAAAACCTCTGCCGTATACACGCGCCCGTTGTCATGGCAAGAAGGGATGTGGCAAAGGTAAATACTGAGCATGCTGATGCGGTGATGCTGAAACATGAGAGATTGTGCAGACGAGATCAGAAATCACTGCCTTTTCTTTAGTTCATCTTCTTTCTGAACACCTCAAGTTTCACTTCTTCCATTCACTGAGTGGTTACTCAAATTGGCCGGAGCGGTACGGTTTGATGATCTCGCCGGGCTCTCGTCAACATCTCTTTGGGGCCAACACGGCGTGGATGATGGATTGCATATCTACGTGACCGGTGGCACTGCCCGGTCAGTACTGCGTCAGCGGTACATCACCCCTCTAAAATCCTCAGATTTCAATACTCGATCGAAACTGGCGAACTCGAAAATGTTCGCGAGAGTCAAATCACCCGTGGCACATCACACTCCCCTCATTTCCGTTTCAACTTACTACAACGAAAATATCGTGAATACTTTTTCCAATTCATCTTTATAAATGTTCACAAAACAAAAATCTCAACGCTATCTACCCTATAGTAATTAATAAATGAGGTCGCACGCCAAGTGCTGGCGCTTGTTGTTGAAGATGTCTTAACATTTAACTGTAGAGTATAATTGTGTTTATATAATTTGAGACTGGAGAAAGAATTCTTGCATCGCACTCTGCTAAAAAATATCAAATAACACCATTGATATCGGTGAAATGAGGCCTGGAATGATTATCATCCAACATCCATTCTCGCTAAATGACACCTTTTTATTGTACATAAAACTGAGTGGAGATTTTTGTTCTTGTGTTGAACAAATTTTCTAACTTCTTCCTCAAACTGTCATATATTAAGGTAAATTAATAAATCAACATGTATAGACTTTTTCATAAACATTTACATTCAGTTATTTGCTAATTCAATTTTGACGATACACCTTGGCTCTTGTATTTGAATTGGAGGGTTGTGATTAAGGCCTATACGTTACATTATGGGATAGCTCATAATGAATTCAGACATCGAATTATCATAGCCGGCCGAGTGGTGTCAGATACATTAAAAGAAGAAAAACGCGCCCGAATCCCACTGTCGTCAGTATTTGCACTGTATAATGCAATTTTGTGGTTGCTTTGAAAAGATATTGCACCGAGCATTCGTGCCAACACATAAGAAATATGTAACTAACACCGGAGTATCTGACACCGGTTGATAAGATTCCTTTTTCTCTTCAGTATTTACCCAGGTTTGTTCTACCTGAGGTGTACAAACATCCGAGGCGAGATCCGCCGAGAGTGGGAGATATAGCTGCTGTAAATGGCACTTCTTTGAAAAGTCACGTCGTGGGATGTAGTGAAGATAAATCTATACAGCCGTTGTTTGGAGAGAAACAAGATGGCGACTGTCTACTGGGAGTGGCTGACGATCATACAACTCTGCCTTGGCATCCTAGGGATCGTGGGTAACCTGTTAGTTATCGTTGTGTATATCAGTAAGAAGAAGCGGCAGAATACCACCAACACCTTGATCCTAGCCCTAGCCTTGACCGACCTCTTCACGTCTATCAACATTATCCCCTGGCCAACGGACTGGCACGGCGCGGTGCCCCTGACCGCGCTGGGCCGGCTATACTGCGGCGTGATCTTCCCAAAGTTCTTCATGTGGACGTCCATCATGGCCTCGGTGGGCCTCCTGACCATACTGTCTGTGGAGCGCTACCTGGCGGTCTGTCGTCCCTTGTGGTACCGCACCGTCTTCAGCAAGACGCGCCCCTGGCACTTCATCGTTGCCATCTGGGTTTTCGCCGCCGTGGAGAAATCCTTCAACCTGTACTGCACCGTCCCTACTCCGAGCGGGAACTGCGAGTTCATCGTCCCCGGCAACGGTGGCTTCCAGATATTCCTGGCCGTTGGTGTCTTCACCGTCGAGTACATGGTGCCCCTCCTGGTGATGCTGGTAACGTACGTGAAGACGATCCAAGCTCTCAAGCGGCAGGCCCGCAACCTTCTGGAGCAGATCGACTCCCGGAACAACCCGGCCTTCTCCTTGCTGCAGACCCGCCGCAAGGTCATCGAGATGCTGCTGCTGGTCATCGTGGCCTTCTCCATCTGTTGGGGTCCGCTCCAGTTCGCCTTCCTGATCGGCTCCTTAGGGATCAAGGGCGACTATTTCCTGAGCACTCTCCAGGACGCCTTCATCGTCTTGGCCTTCTTCAACTCCTGCGCCAATCCCATCATCTACACCTTCAAGAACAAATCCTTCCGGAACTCGCTGCGTGACCGCTTCCGGTTGCGGCGCAAGTGGAACGCGGTGAGTTCGGTCACGGGCACTGCCACGGAGCCTGGCAATAAAGAATCCCATGTGCAACGGACTGTTAGACCTGTGGACCGCCCTCTCGCGATAGAAGACCTACCTGAAATTGGATAATACCATCTTCATCACTATTCAACCACTCACCACCAAGAATGTCAGAGTTAACAACAACGTCGCTACACACACACATAAAACATAACGTGTGTCACAGGTGGTCGCTTGAATTTCAAGCGGGTACAGTTCCACATTCTTAGCTTTCTATGAAGGCGTTTGTAATGGTTAATTTCTTGGCAGATCCGAGCTCCCGTCAGATACAGTGTCACTGCTTGCTCTGTTTCACCGATGACATATCTCTATTAATTCATGAGCGAAAAACTCACTCTCAGAAAAAGTGAGGCCCTCACAAAAACCACTCCAAAAGAGCGAAAACCACTCCAAAAGATTGAAGACCACTCCAAAGAGTGAAATTTCCACTTTGCCAAGGAGCCATAACATAGGACAACTCAAAAAGAGCTGTCCTTTAAATGGCTTCTCTTTTAGAGTGATTTTCACTCTTTTGGAGTGGTTTTCACTCTTTTGGAGTGGATTTTATGATGGACTCACGCTCACGCAAGCGCAGGGTGCGACAGTCCAGTCCACTGCGCGCACCGCTTGAGCATCAGAAGTGGCAGCGGGCTGCTTTAATTGTAGTCGTAGTCGTTTCCTTTTCACTGCTTTTGTGGAGGACAGCGTTCTCACGAAGTCCGGATAAAACAAAAAACCCGGTCTGGGATACGCAATGTACTTTCCTATAAGGTTTTTTGCCAGTCTCGAGAGGAGACTAGTCGTCATGCCTCGTGGAATCTTCCCCTGTTGAAGTGTCAGACTTTCCTTATGAAGAAATTCTCCGGAGCCACGAATATAGTCTTTATCCAAGCATAGAGCTACAAACCCGGTTTGTAGCTCTATGATCCTAGTAAGCTTTGTGTTGTGTAAACAGAATTGCGTTCCGGTCCATGACCCTGATCAACTTTTAGAAGTATAGCAGGAACCCACTCATGCAGGAGCGAGAACGAATAAAATTTTGGCCTCCGGGAATACGCTAGTTGTACTATCTCCAATTCATTTTTCCCCGAACGGCTGAAGTGTTCTTATTCTTCCGAGTTAGGACTAAAATTTATCCAGATAATGAAAATGCATAAGCTTGGTCAGAAAAAAATGATGCATAATTTGCCGTTGAAGACGTGAAGAAAGTTACATCTGAAGACCGAAACAGGGAAGATCACAGGGGTGGATCCGGGAATTTTTACGGGGGGGGGAGTCAGGTCGTAGATTTCCTTTTAATGCCTCATTTTTGCGGACCAGTTTGCACATAAAAGAGGAATCTATGGGTTGCTATCTCGTTTTTATGTTTTTAAATTCACTTTATTTTTAAAAATTATGTTCTCCATTTTTTAAACCATATTTTTTGTTATAGAGCGGGGGTTTCAACCCCCCCCCATCCACACCTGGATCAAAGACTTCTCTCTGCCAGTATCCGTTGTAGTTCATAGTCTTCAATATACCATGTGTTGTTGATCAATTTCTTAGAAAGGGGGAAAGGACGTCACGTAATGCCCCGTCCTGTGAATCGATTAACTCACGACTGTTCATGTCTGGACTATTGCAACTTGCAAGGTCTCCATTCTACCATTTTGAGGTATACACCCCATCTTATAGAGAAAGGACACTTTCTCTATAGTCTTACCGAGTCGGTGGATCAGACCCACCGACCACGTCATAAACCAAAGGCTACAACAGGCCTCTATAATCATCATGACTATAACAGAACACGGCATAGTGGGGAAGTTTACATTATCGTTCCGGCTTGCTCAACTTGTAATATGACCCCACCAGTGTACCACTCAACGGGAAATCCGCATTCCGGGAAGTGGAACTTTTTTTTTTGCCTTTTTCGTGTATGAGCGCTTTGGGCCATTCAAACAAAAATCTTTGTTTCCCGTATCCAGGGTTCACAGCGATTGGGATTAAAATTGTTGGCGTTATTATTACATTGGGGATTGAGTTTTAGCATGGAGGAAGGAAGACGACCGCCGCTACTGGATTTGAAAGTAAATTCTCTGCTTTCTGTTGCTTGATGAGAATGTCAGTGACCGTTGGTGACCTTCAACATGAGTATATTTTGTCTTGGGAAGCGAATGAATCTCTAGCCAACGTCTTTTTCATAGGTTATGTCATTTTGTCTCGTTTGAGCGTAATATGGAAATAGGAATTCTCCTTTGCTATTCATAAATAATGAGAAAAGTAATAAGTAAGAGACAAGGTGAGATAAACAAGATTATGTTTCCGAGTAGCCAAGGACGATTATGACTCAAATATTGGTTTTCATGATGACCGGGGAGTATCGCACACCCGTACATACACATTCAACGGCGATTTCAATTTGATTTTCAAATATAGACCTAGCTAAAACGTCATCCGAGGTGAACGCTCGATGCCGTCTTCTTGTAATTATTTTCAGGTGTAAAATGAAATCTGTATATAATTGTATTTATGGAATATTAAATGGTAGTTTAAAATGTAATTTGTGTCAAAATCAAAACTAAAGAAAAAAATCAGTCTTTACCCTGATTATTGTCGAAGATCCCGAAACCCAAGATAAAATAAATGCGCACTGTCCTTATTGTGATGAAATATTTGAAACAAAATTGCTTGTAACTGTTTGTTTGATCGGGTTAGTCATCATACTACGCTAATGTTCAATTCGGTGAAGGGTAATTATTTAAAAACCCATGGACAGTGGGGTATATTGGGGGCACCGGGGGCTCACATTTTCCTCAAGGAAGAACTGAAAGTGAAAGCAAATGAGCTTTAACCTACGGGTTAATGATACACAGCTTGTGTTCATATCAAGATTGGAATGGGGCCGGGAGACCCAGATATCCACTTGGGCTGCCTATGATATAATATTTGTACCAATACAATGAAAAAATTGTCAAACTAAGACAACTCGGTTCAACCATGGAGGCAACTCACTGAATTCATCGATCAGAATAGGACAGAATAAGATTTTGTGCGCGTGAATGCAGTTGTATTAAATTCCAGACACCCGAAGCCGTGTCTCGATCCGTTTCACCAGATTTTAATCAAATGACGTGGAAGTGTTTTGCTTTTTGTTCATGATGCACGCGCTCGTCACGTGAAAACGCACCCAGAACGTGGAATCCAGCGAAGCGGGGCCAACTGTCTGATTTTAGCAAGCGTCATGTGATGCTGTTTATACATGCACTACCACAGAGAGAGGACACACGACTGACCGTCGACCGTGCGCGACCGATGACGTCATGCGGGGGTTTTCCCCTGTGGAACCCGCGAGACGCGCTGACCTTGAGTTTTGTTAAGTAGGCTAGGGGTGTGGAGCAACCGAGGTGCTTGTACATGTACATTATGTACTGCAGAAGTATATGTACGTGTACATGTACATGTACATGTACTGTACACACAAGTATTCTCAAGATTGTCATACACATTGCGTTGTGTGGCCGGATACGGCTCGTCTTTCCAAGAGCTGGCACACTCACTGATTGTAAGTAGGATCATGAATTATTTTGCCCTCTGAACCTGACGTGTGACTTAGCACGTCCCTGACATCAGTGCTCGAACAACGTGTTACTAATCCCACGCTGTTTGCGTGGATTGCCACATTCCTTCATGTGTTCACGATCGTGGATAGTAGAGGACAGCTCATTACAAAACACGCGTGATTTCACCTGTGGTTTCACCATAACTCCATGGCTTCACCAACGGGGTGAGTGAACTGGACACTTCGAAATTATGGTCTAAACAGCGGGCACAGGCTGGCCAGTGCCCGGTAGTGTTCCCTCTCCGAGACGGTACCGAACACCGGTGTGACCCTCCGTTCGCCGCCATGTTCTCACCGGCGACTCCGAAATCGGCACTGACGCTGGGCGAGACGCCCTACCGGACATTGCCCAATTTCTACCGTACCACGATCCAGCTGTCCACGCTGCTAGACGTCGAGCAGCCGTTGGGCAACAACGACTACCGCACGGTCTTAGAACAGCTCGGCTTTCAGCCAGAGGAGGTAAGACCTTTCTTGTAAAAGACTTAGCATACCGCAAGGCCGGTCTTTATCAGTACAGTAATGTACTTCTAAGAAGTGAACCACACAAACCACGAGTGACCACCAAGTTAAGTTACGAGATGGGATCCGAAAATGTCGTGCTTAAAATGAGGTAAGTGAAAAACATAGAGGCTATTTCCACATGTTTTCCACTCGAGTAACATGAAGAAATTAGTCATAAACAATAACTTAAATTCGAATTACATTTTTGTATAAAAGAAATAACAATATGTATGATCATGGTGGGTGATATTCCGGGGGGGGCAAACCTAACATACCAGACCATTTTGTTAAACTGGGTACCATTATTGAAGTCACATACGGTTTATTGTATATTGAAATAAATTTGTTTTCGATAAAAATCAAGTATCTACCTTGACTGCATGTGCCATAGATCTACCACAAACCAACACCTGATTTTGCAATATTTTGGAAGAGTTCAACACTTTTGAAAACCACACTTTTTATGGCGATCATTTTTTTGTGTAATTGTAAAGAAGTTGGTCACTTGTTTGGAGGATTCGACCGTAACGTCTCCAAGCAGAAATGCTCGCGGTATTAATGTTAAAAGGAATTTTTTTTAGAAATTAAGGAAATAAGATCATTCATTATTCATTCATTAGTTTATTTCATTCTTATCGTGGTCCAGCAAGCCAGATGACAAGAATGATACATATTATAATTAAACACATGTAAAATGGATTAAAAGCACATCAACGAAAATGGCAAACACAAAAAACTTAATCACTAATCATAATTATTATTATTCAAACTAATAAACAATTAAACGGATAAAATAGATCAAACCTCTTTCAGCCGGTTGAACTATGTTTCGTTTCTCTATTAGTGGATAAATTCTGTAAGCCAGAAGAATGCCTGTGCAGATTCTCTAATTACGAATATAATAAATTGATATAAAGTGGAATGGGGCTGTTCCTAAAACGGTTAGTCCTACAGCCTGGTATAGCAATGAAATAGAATGAGAGTTACGCAGCTCCCTACTATGCACAAAGGAGGAATACGGGTACCAGTTTGCTTACACTTGGACAAAGACTTGGACCAAGACTCGGCAAGTTTACAAGAATGTGCCTGTCCACCTCAAACGCTGAGCATTATGCAAAATGTCAAAATGGCTAGATCCAATTAATATCTTTTTGTTATCTCACAGGTCAGGTTTTGGGGCTGCAAGTGCAAACGGCCGACCTTGGAGGCATTGGTAGGGTGGGAGGGCACCGTCCGGGAACTGGCCGATGCCTTACGGGAATGCGAGCGATACGATGCCCTGTCTGTCCTTGTACAATCGCTGGTGCAGGTTCTCCAGGAGGCGCACAGAGTACAACGGGCAGATCAAACAGGGGCCAACATCTTGAGCCGGGGTAAGTTATCAGCAGTCGTGGTTGGGTCTTTTCCTACCTCCACGGTTTGATGTACGCATTGCAAACACTGCACTGTGGTGCTCAGAGGATTATCAGAGGATAACACCAGACTGTGTGCGGTTCTTTTATAACACCCGGGGTGTTAAATTAACACCAGTTTAACCACAATTTTTGTTGTGTGGGTCTTTTATTGTTAGTCAAAAACGGTTCTAGACCCTGTAAACTTCTCCGATTTACTTAACAAAATCAAAACGGGCCATTTATAAAAGTTTTGATACAATTGTCTATTGACAATTTTTTTCATTTTGGTTAGTTTATTGGATGTCAATTTAAAGTGAGGAATTTACATCTTTTGTTTTAATCACAATTTGAATAAAATAGAAACAAGCGGACCATGATGGGGATCGTCTGTATTGTTTCTTCTTGTTAAAAGTGATAGATACGCCCACGTTAATGTTGAGCAAACATGGGCACTTTGATGTTGGTTAACCCTGCAGGGTTTCCCGAGCCCCACGAAGGCAGTGGGGCATTTTGGCATGCATGTCGATTTACCTCAGTACCCGTCTCTTGTTTTTGCAAGCCTCTCTTGGTCCCAGACATTGTGAGGGGCCACAACAAAATGGCCGCCCCGCCCCAACTTCCTGTTAACCGGGACCGGTCGAGTATCAAAATTCAATGCTGCAGCAATGCTTGTTATGCACTTCGATCCTTCGAATAGGATCCTTCGAATTGTTATACGCATGATCTCTTGAATAATTAGTATTCGACCGATGGAGTCCATGTTGAGTCGCGTTCGAATGCGGCTGTAAAGTCACACATGAATCCGTATAGGAAAATAGAGTGGATGGTGGCTTCCATGAATGCATGCTATGTTTTTTTCCACCCAGAGCCACGTTGAGCGTGGCTCATCTTTTCCTATAGCATGGGGTGACGGAGGTCAGGCCATATTTCCCTGTTAATTATGCACAAGTTATGACGCAGGAAGCTGTCAAACTCAGTCTCGGTTAATGGTTTTAGAGTTCGAGGTTGATTAAACAATGCTAGCCTGCAATAACGATTAAGATATTTGCGGCCACAAAATAGCCATTTTCATGGTCACTGAACAAATTCCAAGCATGGTTTAATAATCGATATGGCTTTAAGAGTTTCCGGAAGGAAATTATTCGTCCTGCTGTAAAGTTCTGCATCAAACATTTCATTTTCACAACATTGGAGCGACTTCCTGTTTATATAGGCCTCGACTTCCCTGTTAGCATCTGTTCTAATTGACGAGCACTAATCTAACCTGCTGCGTCATCGTTAACTCGTGTATTGCTTGTCCATGGATGGCCAATCAGTTGTGGATGTATCACCCAGTAGCGTAACTGAGGAGGGTGGGGGCATGGGGCAAGCCCCTCCCCCCCACCTGCTTCAGAAGTTAGTAGTAGTGTTTATTTTGGTGTGTGGATACAGCTTCGTGATATTTTTCAAAACTTGAGAAATTACACTAACATTTTTGTTTTTACTGACCACCGTCTGCAATTTCGCCAGCAGACGGTTGGCAAAATACGACTGTGACGTGTTGTAAAAATGCTGTCCGTTTTCCCTCTCTCTTGAGATTTAAACGAATGGACCAAGAATTCATAGGAGCTTTTGTTTCTGTTTGCAGACGTCTTTTCTTCGACCTCGTCCCCAGAACTACAGCCATCCTCACTTAGATGGGAGGACGCCGACACCTGTCTAAAGCCAATCGTCCCTGAATATAAACAGAGCAGCGATGTTGTGGATGATGCAACCTCGCTTGCATCATCATCTTCGTTATCGTTACTACCACCGTCATCCCTGATACAGACACTTTCATCAGACTCCTCTGTTTTCGGTCGTGTCACGACCGAGCTGCCGTCCCTAGAATCCCTCGATACAACAAGCGGATTATCCTCGCCAGGTGTTTGCACAGTCGAGTCGCCGTCCACGTTACCGCGGATACCCGATGTGGAGGCGCTGCTGACCGCGCAGTTTGAGTTTCCCACCCAACTTGCGGTCACGTGTCTCTCATCTTCCAAAGGTAGGAACACAAGCCATGTTTGATTGGTTTGACCCAAGACTAAAAGATATTAGGAGTCCGATCAAGAAAGATCCTCAAGTGTGGCTGAAGTCGGCCATCAGAGCATTTGGCAGATACTGCATTTTAAAATGGCTCGTTTTACGACAAGAAGAATGTTCCCCTCCAAAGAGAGAAATTAGTTCCACAACTCTGACTACGTAAGCCTGAAGAACAAAAAATAAAAACGAAAAGTGACCTTGTGTGTCAAACCATGGAGGAGGGTGTAGAAACACGCCAGGCAACCCATCATGGAAGTTTGCAGAGCGAGTGACTGTATACTGATCCGAAGCGGAAGTTTATGATACGCATTAGCTTATCTCGTCTTGGGTATGCGATAATCCGATTGTATCTGTGGAATGCAACAAGTGGTATGTACGATTGCCCTAAATCAAGGATAAAGTCCAAAAGTACGGAGAACTTTTCGAGATTTCTGTTTGACTATCAGTGTTTCCGACCATGGTCGGACAAAAAAGGACTGCCTTGTTGGATTTGATAAGAGATAATCTTAAGCATATCAAAATAACAATACAGAAGTCGAGAAAGGTATTTTGTTATGGCAACAGATTGGGACATCCTTGGTAACACTGACAGAAAACAAAAACAAACGCCTAAACGCAGATTTTGGTTTACTTGAACTTTATCTATTGCTTTGTTGTCTCTGGCAGGCCGTAAGACCACCGAGTTTGTATGCAACCTCGTAGCCTCCGGCGTCAGCCGTTGGCGTTGCATCTCCAATTCCGGGGACCTCACGTGGATCTCCAACACCACCGTCTACATCAACAACTTCGCGCGGCTGCTGCTCTTGCTTGTGGCCTTCTTGAACGCGGTCACGTGCGTCTTTGGCACCGCCCACACGCCGGCCTACGTCCTGGAGCTTATCATAGCCGCTGTTCCGGTCGCCCAGTCGCTCTACGTCGACCAGAACCTGCCGACCTACCGCGACCTGATACGAAAGATCAAGGAGGTGGAAGCTGGAATGGCGCTCATCGCCAGAACTCTCGAGCGACGCCCCGGGGAATGCCTCACGAGTGAAGGTAACAAGTTGGCAGAGCTCGACGCACGGAGGAAAAAACTGGAGCACCTGAAAAGGCTGGTTTGGCCCGTGTACAGCGATATCAGACTCTGCATTATCAGCACCTTACTGGTGGAGTTTTTGCTGGTGTTTCTCGTCCTCTTTGTGGGGCTGATATGCTTTTCCAGTGAGGAGATACTGGCAAAGCTGGGAGACGGTTTCACCATGATGGCGCTGGCGCTGATGTGCATCGATTGCGCCTACAACTTCGCGATTGTGGCTGTGTACTACCACGACAGGACGATTGAGACCGTACTGCGGAAAGACCGGTTTCGCGTGAACGCAGCGCTGTTGCGTAACGAATCGGATTCCGTATAGTGTGGCCGGAATTAGGGCTTACACCGACATAAAGTCTCTTCGATTATTATGTGCAATAACACTCATTGATTTCATCAAGTTTCCCACAGGTTCATTGGCCTTTTACCATGCAGCCAACCTCCACTAGGACCGCACGCGCTGGCCGTTTAGCCGTTACAATGGTCAGGGGGCGAGTTGGCAAGGGGCGAGTCGGTCAGGGGGCGAGTTGACCTACAATCGTTACAACAGTCTTGCGAAAGAACGTGCATGGAAATGTGGGTGATCCTTACTGATGCGTTTACATTGTATATTATGAACATGCATCATTCACTCATTTTCAAACGGCGTTAGTGTCGTCATAACGTCAACGGCTGGACTGTCTAATCATAAAAAAAGAGACAGTGTTCTGACCTTACTTGCCCGATGTACACCCCCCCCGCAGATTCGCAAGCCTAAAGTCGAAATGGTGACTCGTATCGTGCCCAGGCTGGCACCCGTTTACAGTGGAAATTCCTGGAAATGTTTCTTGGGAAGCAGGCTACTACCCGGATTAGATTTATTAAATAGGTATCTACCTGTCCGCCACGCGTTGGATTTTTTTGCATGAGAGGCATGCGCAATCGACATTTAACAGTAAATTTGGAGGGTGTAGGAGCAACGGCGCTCCCAGAATCCGTCGGGGGAGGTGCATTATTTGAGCAGGCCCAATGTATTTCAAATAGGGAAGGGACATAGAGTTGTTCATGACTGTATCCAACTTTATGGGGACGACACAGACTTGACTTGTGACCCAGTTCCATTTCAGGCTGTTCCAAGTCTTGTCGTACCCCGAATTGATGTACTTCAAATTAATTCATTAGTACTCCAATTATTTTACTGCAGGTCAGTAAGATGATTTTTTATTTTTGTGACTGTATAGTGTCTGTGTGTGTGAGTCAGATCATTTTAATTCATTCGGGTGCATGGTATTTTTGTAAAATTTCAAACTGGCTTTCGAACTGGAGTCTTCCGAGCGCAGAGCTGTGATATCCGTTGTGACGGATACCTACTGTGGCGAGTCATGGCAGAAAGCCTAGTAAAAATAAAAAAACACCGTTTTGTTGGAGTCCAGATTTTTATAACGCCAAAAACGAGGGATAGCGCTTCCCAGAGCTGTACATGTATATAGAGAGTGTAGATCCGACTTCAGACTTTGGAACTAAAATGGCTGTTCATGCATTACGTGTTAAGTACAGCATGCAGCTATTGTGTGATTTGTCCATGCGCACTGAAGCATAATCCACCATGTTGGTTCCAACAATACAGACACTCGTGTCGCAGCTCTTTCCATGGTGTTTCCTATTTCCCTCTCTTAAATCATTCCCATCTTCTTTAGTAGGCGCCTCACATCTGGCCTTCTCGTAAAAAAGGGAAACCAGTGTTCCTTGATTTTTGTCAGACATGGAACTTGTCTTAATACTGACTAAACTCAACTACAATGTATTTTGATCTTGTTGAATTCTGGAGGCTGTAGAATTCCTGGTGAATTGCGTTTTTAGTCCAAAAATAACAACACGGGGATATTGCAGTTGAGGCCTAGTTTGTGGTCACTGCTGCTTCGTGCAATTGGACAATGTGGCAATAAACTGCTGAATAACTGAGATAATTTTTTTTATGGGGAACGGTAACATTCGATTTGGAGATAACGCTATCGCGTTTGAGGAAGGAAATTTCACCGTTAGGCACAGCCTGTTTCCGTGGACTGTGTACGTTGTACACCACAAGCCTATATTTGGAATATGAGAAAATTGCCTCTATTTAGTGCGAGGCCAGGTGGGTGAAATATGTATTTTTTAATAAGAGAACAGCCCTTTTTGTTATGGATTTACGATTAGTCTCCAATTATAAAGGTTTTGTCGGTTCAGAAGTGAAGTATTACTGTTACTGTGAAAGACGTATTATGTACCCCCATGGCATCTGTCTCAGTTACCTTGCAAGTTCAGAGACTTTATTATTTCAACTTCTATTTAAAATGTGAAGAGCTAGTTCTTTGGCATTATTGTGCTATTTTCATTGCTCTATGTTGAATTCTCTTGAATTCCTACAGTCTTTATACATGACTATATTTAATTTTTTTCTATTTGAAACATTTCAGTTTTGTACACTGAAAAAAACTCAGGTGGTAGAAGTCTTCACATTGTGTTGAATGTCCGATTAAATTTTTATTTGTTATCATGTGCAAACTATGGAGTATTTACATATTTATGCATTCATTTTTGTTAGAAAAGTTTTGAAATGGAACTGATATTCAGGCACAAGCCTGTCAGAAAGAAACAAAATTATCACAGAAGCTGTATTCAGATACAAATCACAAACAAGCTATAATTATTTAGATACAAATCACAGACACATTCATGTTTCAACAAATAGCCAATGACAACATACATTTCCATGACTCATCAAAAAGTCATGAAGCAATATAAACCTGATAACAATGAATTTATATAGTGACATACTATGCAATGAATCTTGCACAATGCCTGAAGTATAATTGATATCGGTACACCATTCCCCTACACTGAGCTTAACGTAGCTTATACACCTGCCTCTCTGATTCCCTGTAAAACATAACAGTTCCTGGTTCTGGTGTGGTTTCCTTTGTAAGTGTACTAAGGATGACTGGTAACTGCATCGGACCTCCTGAAGAAGCTTGTTCTTGATTTAGGTAGGCATGTCCAGTTTTGGCACAACGCACACTTTGATGAGGACAAAACTTCTTTTTGCGGTTTTCCTGTTGTCAAACCAATCCACCTAACTTTCTTTCCAAGAAATGATATCCTTTCTGCAAGACGAAGAACCAAAAGATTGTCAGAGATGGGTTTTAACCCTGACCCCCTTAGGGTGTAGGTAAAATCAGATTGAAAGCAGAGGATTCAGGAGAGTTGGGGTTAATAAACCAAATAGAGTGATATCATGTTGACCCTTGAATCTTAAACAAAAATTACCAACTTCAACTGGACAATGAAATTTCAAAAACAATGGATAAAACAATCAGATTTTTAAAATCAATTTTTGCAACAGAAGCGCTCCATAAAGATGCCCAACCAAAACTAAAAATTCTCATTGAGAAGATTAGTATGCCGATTGTTGGTCGTCTCTCAACATATTTAATTAAAATACAGGAGTTCAATTTCGAATTCAGTCACCTTTACTTCTCTTAGCTTCTTGCTATCATCCGTCTCTTGCATGTTCTTCCGAAACTCCTCTCGAATCCTTCTTTTGTAGAAGTCTCTGTCAGTGAATCTGAGAGTGTTTGCCTCCCTCAGAAGACGCCTGTAAAGTCCTAAGACAATCTGACGCGACCAAACAACTTCCATTTTCACTGCTGAAGAAACGATCAACAAAATGTGAATCGATAATTCATAAAACACAAACCAAACGACAAAAACAACTTCTACATCAAGACTCCTAGTCAAGAAATTATCGAATATAAACGAACCTGTAATATGTTTGAATAAATTACTAATGATTCTTTTAAGGAGGTTTTATATGTCTAAATGGGGTTTAAAATCGGTCCGTCGATCGTCTTCACAAAATTCTCTCGGGCGCCGCCATTTTGGTCACAGCGCCCCCTTTCGATTGATTCCAGCCACGCGATTCGCAAATGAATAGCGCTAACTTCAACTGCCATGACTGCCTGACCGGTTCTTTGCGTTTTGGCGTTGATTCATTGATGTTAAGGTTCGTATTATTACTATTAAAGAGTATTCTCTCCTAATTATTTTTGGAGAACTGAGTATGAGAGATTTGTTCGAAGAGTTTCTACGCATGTCCTCTGCTGACAACTTCTGTGTCTCAACTTCGTCGTGTTGTTCGTTGTATTTTGATTAGGCCTAGGATTAACCAGTTGTGCTATTGTGATTTTGAATCAGTTGGACCTCGTGTGAATTGTTGTTAGAGCTTAGAGGGCATGCCCAGCTGGGATGACGTAATTCATGGGAGTCAACTCAAATATTGGGACACTGTTATTTGTGGAAGTTCCAAGTTTGTACTGAAACCTGAACAAATTTAATTAGGAGCAGCATTAAGGGGTGGAGCACTGGAGAGGTGGGGGGTGGTGTGGATAGCATGGGTAGCCCTATTTCGAGAATTCAAAGTCACTGCTCCGTCGTACTGTGTGACTCCGAGCCAATGTAGTTTACAAGGAGTTGTAACACTAAGGGTTTTTTTATCAAGCTTGAGAGGTGAATGACCCACAACTTGAACAATGCTTTTCAGTCAAATTTTCCCATGAGAGCAAACTTGAGGAACCTAGCACTTGAAAATGCTTGTACAAGAGTTTCAGAGCATGAGATAGAGTATTTTCTGAAAAAAAGTGAGATATTTACTCACCAATCTCTCTCGCTTCGACCCAACTACGATCGCATCATTCTTTTGTGTTTATGTGTTATCACATTGCGCATGCGTTGGGCTGGCCAACGGCCAAGCTTGCTCCGCATCTCTGTTCGACATTTTTTGGAGGTGGGTGTTGGCGTCTTGTTTTCATTGCATGACTGCTTTTCTGTGTAACTATGCGCTGTGCTGTGTGGCTGTGACTGATAGCAAGACCTTACAAATGCCCCGCCTCCAAACATGCCAACCTAAATTGTAGTGTATGAAATACATGTATACTTTCTCCATCTTTGGGCATGATATCAATGAGCCCATTAAGAATCTCAAAAAGTCAAGGTCATTTGAGGACAAAGCAGGTGTGTGAATGGGTGTCTGGCTGCACTTACAGGGCAGACGTTACACATATCGTGGCTCTCGTACCTGAAACACTCTTCATTTTGGGCATGCGCCATTGAATTACCAACCAATCAGTCATATTTTCTCATACTAGACGCCTGATTGCCCGTCACCTGTCTCTAACCTTCCCCAAAGACCAAAACCCTTCATTGTCTTTTCATCTCTGTGGTACAGTGGGCAACGCCTTCCGTGAGAAACATAACACCAACTACTGTACTTGCTTCTCTTGTTGATCAACCAAACAAAAAACCCTGCGGCTTCAAAGAAGGATGTTGGAACTTAGGGACGGTCAACTGATATATATTTTTACTTGACCTTGACTTCTTCAACCCCTGTGGTGTAGGCCGAGGATTTGAAAGGATGGAAAAATTTCTTCTGCACAGAATCAAAAGGCCAAACTTTCCATATGATCACATGGCATTTGTGCAGCGATGTAGCCAGGATTCTGAGCATGGGGAAGGGGAGGTGAGTGGGGGACTACAGTGGGGGAGGGGGCTGACTGCATGTTGGACATAGACATGCTCATAATCGTGATCACATCAGGATATATGCAAGTGGGGGGGGTGATGATTTCTCATGGGGGACATGTACCCCCCCCATGCCCCATCTTAGCCACGCCCCTGCATGTGTGCCCCTGTTGAGAGATCGTAAGGAATGTCTAGAACAGTGAATTTTATTGAAAAATCAACAGGTGATGCTCGTAGCTGGGAAAAGCCATACAATGCCCAACAGAGACAATAGTAGCTCCATGGCCGACTGGCTCCACTCTGGCTACAATCTGCACCTTGACTTGTTCAACTTTGAGAGCATAGAGGCTGATGATAGCCCCTACATTCTGACCAGTCCTAGATCATTGGAGGCATGCACGCTACTCGAAATACAGGTGAGTGTATGCACATGTAGTTATACAAACTGACTCAAGTCCGGCTTTAATGACCCACTTTGCTAACAAATTCTTCAGAGCTTCTAAAGATAGCACATGTATTTTGGGCCATTCAATTTAACAGATCTTATTCTGTTAATTTTGAGAGTTTTAGTGCCCTTTTAAGGTGGATTAAATAATTGGATCCAAGACATTTCTGTCGCATGATTTTTGTGGCATGCGTGAGTGAAAAACAGGCTGTTGGCAATGATAAAGTCCCAAGTGTGTTAGCGGCCAAGGTTGAGGTATCATTTCAACTTTGTAATAGTTTTTCTCAAGCCTTGTGTGAGAAAGAAGATAAGCGCACAACTGAGGTTTTTGGACGAGATGCACCACTGCACAGTGTGATAACGCTTGACAAGGGGGGGGGTTGAAAACAGAAACTATAAACATTCTCACCAAAGTACCACTTTGCGGTGAAATGAGTCCTTAAGGGTTTGTTTCAAGGATGTCTACCCAGGGCTTATTGGATGGATCCTGCAGGGGATTTTCCCGGGGCTCTTTAATGACCCCCAAGTTGACTGTTCCACCACTTGCACAGGGAGAATTATGTTACACACCTGTCCACAGATTTCCCAGCACCTAGCAGTGCCCATGCTGACAACAAGTGGTGAATTCCCCCCCCCTAAGGTTCATTTCACAGGCATTGATCCTTCTGATTGTGTTGAAAACACTGTGAAAATGTTGGTTTGTGTTAAATTCAGAGAAAAGTGGTACTCCAATGTTTTTTGGGGGGGTCAAGATTTTTTATAATGCAACATGGATGTCTGTTTGAACATCTTTACTTTTAAATACAGCACTGCATTAAAGAAGTGTAGGACTGCTTATTTTGTGTGCCGAACTAATTTTCTTGAATACATGTATCATGTTCATTCTTCCTGGCATTTCAGGATTGCCCATAGTCCACCCACAAGTGATTTGAGTTCCAACTTCCGGGACAAACTGTACCATTTTTATAATATAAGCAAGCTTGTAATGTTGTATACTCCATGGGGAGCTGGGGTTGGGTCAGGAATATTTATGGGGCCCGTTGAAAAACATGTACAAATAGTGTAGCCCCTTGAGCACTAGTAATGGTGGATATGTTCACTTCATGAATCTCCATTATTGTTATGATTATTTCCATTATATTGTGTACAACTACTGTATTCCTTGTAGCCTATTGAGTTACTGCACAAAGACCTGATGCAGTTTGAGGAAGAGTGTCTCTTGACGGGACAGCCGCTGAGGGAAGCCAAGAGATTGTATGAAGAGCATGAGGAGCAGAGACTCAGTGAGTGTAAAACTCAGTATAGGTTGAGTCACTCAGCGAGTGTTTGCAGTGAGAAAATGTCCCACTAGTTATATCAAAGTTTTTTGTTGTCAAAGCTGCTCTTTGGTCCAGCTTCAAACATCGTGGTGTTCAGGAATCATTTCAAAGTGCGCTCAAAACGACCAAGATTTATGTACTCCAGGTTTGTTTTGGGAAGGTTGATGGGTCACAGATTTTACGTGTGGCGCAGACGGAGTGCCAGTACAATCTTGGATTTCAAAATGTCGTCATTTAAGTTTCTGAAGCCAGTTGTACCCAGGATCTCTTGATTTATTTCTTGTGTGCTACGACCATCCGTGTACAAGCATTTATAAAAAAAATATGGACTTCTACTTTTGGTAGGAAGTAAAAGCATCGCAGTCTGGGTGACAGACGTAAAAATTTATAGACTGCGGTATTTGTAACTCCATTTTGGAATAGGCACATCTTCTTCAACGCTTCACATTGATTGAATATCTGGCTTATGTCACTGCACTCTCAGGAAAACTGAAGCAATGTCGGCGCTTGAGAGAGAAGATGATTCTAGAATATGAAGATGAAGAGAACTCAAAATGCACGCCTTCAGGCCGGGCAAAAGTTATTCGGTCACCAAAGAAAGACCCAGAAAATTCTACTGCAAACAAAGGTATATATGTGTTCCAGTGTTCAGCAAGTCTAGCTTTCCGTTTGTCACAGGGAATTTGAGGCTGCTCTGCTTGGTGTCCTTTAATTGTGAAAAAATATGCCTTATTTTTATCCAATTTGAAATTTATTCATTTTGTAATGAAGGTTTCCTTTGAATATTGTATCAATTGAAAAAAAGAAAATAGTTTTATTCTAAACAGATATTGTCAGCTTTTCATTTCCATCTCCTTTTTTGCTTAATTTTGCTTTTGTGCTCAACAGTGCAGGCTTTGCGTCTCTCAAAAAAATTGAGTCAGCTTTGGACACGTTCAACTTTTACAGTTTTCTGTAGTCGTAAACAAACATTTTCTCATTTGAAGGTTTGGAGTTTGGACAAGGTGATTACAGAAATGCAAGCACTCACAGGCACCAACGACCCGTGTCAGCTCAAGTCATTCCCCAACGATCCCCTGGACCAAGCAGGCAAGCCACCACCCCTGGCCCATCAAGCAAGCCCCGGAGACCCACTAGGTCGGCTGTCGCACACCGCACGCCCACATCGCCTCTTTTCACAACTCCTGACTTGAAGTCAAAGGTCAGAAGGCAGCAGGAGAGGTCATTGTCGTCGCACTTATCGCTGCAGTCCAACAGGAGTCGACCATCATCAGCTGGTAGCACACTGCCCGAACAGGTAATAGATATTTCAAGAATACAGCTGTGATAATCCTGGTTGTAACTCTTAGGGCATGTTTGAGAGAAGTTTTACCTAAACAGAGGGTTTGCGTTGCTGCCATATTGCCATCTGCCACCTTTGCTCTTTGTTCCACAGGGTATGCACGAAGAAGGTTTCTCTGTGGAACAAAAGAATTGCCCTGCAAGATGGCTACCAGAGAAAGCCTCTATTGGGCACACTTCAGTAAATAAATAGAACTTTTTTTTTTTTAATAAATTGATTACAAGTCCTGGTAGTTATGCTTGGATGGCCCAGTCCTGAGTTCAGTATACTGCAATTTAAACAAGATGGGAAGGATGAACATCCTTTTTGTTTCTGAAGCCTGTTGTTTGTTTGTGCCCCTTTTGATGTTTTCAATTTATTTGAAGAAAAATACATCTCCATCAGAAACAGAGCGAGAAGTCTTCGGCCCGGTGGAAGTGGAACATACTTTTTGCTGTTTTGAAAGTGTTGAGAGCTGTGTCAACTTGGGTTTGTTGAAGCTGTGTAATATTGTTCCCTGTTTCTTTCCTGGCCAGTTTGTTTCACACGGATCTAGATCTCGATCAGTGATCCCATTGCTGGTTCGCTCCATCCTAAGGTGGGTTTCGGTGTCAGTGAACCCGCAATGGATCATTGATCCCGATCCCGATTCGCGTGAAACAAACAGACCTGTCGTGTTTTCTGTCGGAATTTCTTGCATCACACAAGAATTGCACTTTCTTTGTGGCTTCTCTCCTTCAGGATCAGAAGATCTTGGACCTGCTGGAGAAGAAATACAGAAAGGAGAAACTTATGGAAGAGACCAGGCAGGAACTGAGGCTGGCCTGGGACGAACAGAGACAGTCGGAGGAGAGGTCAAAAGTCGAGAACGAGATGCAGCGCAGGAAGAACCTGGCAGACGCAAATAGGGCCAGGCAGAAAAAGAAGGTATTCTGTGCTTGGAAATATCTCTAAAATGTCTCTGATGACTGTGCCGCTTTCCTGGAGAAAACCTGCAGAGATATTGATACCCTTGACTGTCGGGCTTTTTAATTCTTTCGTAAGCTTTTATGTTAGTGTCTGCACTCTCCGGTGACCTATCGTTAACAAGTGTTGTGCATGAAAATAACAAGTGATAAGAACAGTCAACCGTGTTAATTAAACCACTGGCATTGTCGTCAACTGTCATTCGTCATTGTCACACGTGGCTAAATGTTGCAAGTTTGGCTAGTAATTTGATTATTAAGACAGTGCATGAACTGTCGAATGGAATCATATATACATCATATTTATGATGGAAATTTCTTCAGTGAGAGAGTTTGCATGGTGTAGAATCGGGAATGTTGTGTTGTGAAATGAAGATATTCTCAACACTGTACAGAATTTCTCCTCTGGAGATACTTTCAGAACACGATGTTCAGAAAGTCTTTTTTTAAACTGGTCTCTGAGCTTTGCACAGCTCGTCAAAGACATGCACGGTGTGTTCCTTGGCAACTCTTGTGCACCTCATCACCCGTAGATTATCACTCTGTTTTGTTGGAAACAAGGAGAGAGAAGAGCGGCGAAGGCAACTGAAGAAAGAGCAAGAGATGAGGGATGCGGCGATGGGTGTACAGCACCGAGACATGTACCATGCAAGACTGGTGAAGGAACAGCAGGCACTGACGGTGAGAAAAACAGACTGACAGATGGAAGGAAGGACAGACGGACAAATAGATGCACTGACAGATGGCAGTTGGCAATGGAAATCACACGAGTGAAGCTTGTGGCACCATGCTCAGAATTGGTTGCAAGTCAGTGTGTCGTGAAATTCAGAGGGTACAAATCTTTGGCTCACAAGCTCTTGAAAAGCACTGCTTGGTAAAGTAGCCTTTGCGAAGGGCAAACTTTAACATGCAAGTCTTTCAAAAAAGTCTGGAAGATTTTTGAAACTTTGAATTGTACCCTGGCTCAAGCTGAAAGGGGAAATCCCAGTCTCAGTTGTTTCTTTTGTACTCTGATTACAGCAACATCAGATTCAGCTGAGTAAACTTGAGGATGCGGAGAAGAGGAAAAAACAGGTAAGAGTACGATGAAACAGAAGAGGGTGAATCAATTGGTTTGCAACGGGCTGTGCACAGTCTGAGTTCATGAAACATTTTAGGGAAACTTTTTGCCTCGTGAGAGGCAGACCAGGGGTGAGCATTCTGGTTTTGTTGACACCATCTCAGGAGGAAGTGTTGAAGAGGCGAGAGCGAGATGAGGAGGAGTATCGTCAGGCAGTGTCGCATCACTTAGCGGTCACTCAGGAGAGGGCTGAGCAGCTACGCAGACTGAAGGAAGACCAAGA